TTATTTCAACGACCATGATTTTTAAAAAGGTTTTTTGCGACTAGTATGCTACTTAAACTGCCTTGACTTATTTGGTATCCGAAGATTAAAGGCCAAAAATTCGAATTGAGGTATTCGATTGAAGGACTCGAACAAATTGTCGTTAAACCTTAATGGCTTGAACGCTATTTACTTACTTTTTCGTTTCCGATTTCCTTTGGAAGTAATGATAGATTTCTCTACAATTCTTCTGATATGGGACTGATAAGAGTGAAAAACAAAGTCCAAAATGTCGTAAGAAAATTTTTGCTTAATCCGCGTTTTAATTTATCATTACATCAATTTCCAAAATGGGCATCAAAACCAAAATTCAAAACTCTATTTTTAGAAACACGTATTTAACTTCGGCTCTATTAATTTCTACAGTGACTTAATAATCACACAATTTCACCTGTAACTTTGGCTAAGTGTAGGGAAACCAGGTAAAAAATGGAGGTTATTATAAATTTACAACAAAGTCGTAAAATCAAAAATGTGAGCTTGCGTAGATCTAATCGATTGTAATGTTTCTGGTGAATAAGTTTTTATACGTCACAAAGCGAAAACCCCACCGCTGGTAGCCGGTACTTTACGAGCTTACACGCATCACATTGAAGACAAACAAAATTTAGATATTATAATCCAATCCATATTTTTGACTTAACAAAATGTGTTGAAAACGGGGGCATTTAAGCTGTGAATATAGGTCTTATTAAGTTAATATAGAGATGATAAATGAGCCAAAGAACAAATCATAATTCAACTTTCATCGAGAGGTGCATGCCAACGGTCATCAGGTTTTGGATTGTTTTCAAGATAAATTATTCCCCAATCCGATTTTCTTCACAAAAGGAAATGCTAGACACAAAGGTGTAACTTAAGGTAAGTTGTTTAAACAACGTAGCATAAATAATACATTTTCAGAATCATGCTTCACTCAAAGAAATAGACAAATTTAAAGTTTTTTAGGAATTTTTTACTCATACTGGAGTATTGATCAGATTTTTGTACTGACCGCAACTGGGAACATCCAGCCAACACTTTAGCCGTTTTTGGCCAACTCTCCAGGATCCTCGTAGCTTGCGAAAAGCTATTCCACTAAAGAGTAGCTTACAACACTGAAATAAGAGACAACTCCAAAGGATCGCTCTCAAGGGTTTCTCCCTTCAACATAACTACCGCCAGTGAATGTCTCCAGAAAACTTTAGCTAGTTCACGCTCTACATCCGTAAAATACCTGATTTTATGGAACATTTCAGGCTATTACCTAGCTTCTTGAAAAGCCAAGTTAGATACACAAGAGCGAATAAAAGCAAACTATTATTCCACCTCATGATGATGAAAATATTTAAAGTGCCAAAAGCACCACGAAGATACGCACCAACGTGAATTGGCGTTTTAAAAAGTGCTTGATTTTCTTTTTGTGATTGTATTCAAACAGCGCTTTGTGGAGATGCAGCTGAGATCATATGCAACAATACAACGGCATTTTTAGATAATATCTCGGTCTTTTGTTGATGACAGAGAGGTTCATTGCTTAAAATTTTATTTTCTACACAATCAAAAGCAAAATTTCAAATTCCCTTTTTATAGCTTATGCATTTCAAAGGACTCAGTTATTTGTGTGCAGAGTATCAGAAGCTGCAAATGCCCAACAAAGAAATTTTTACGTATTTCTGCAAATTTGGTGCTTTAAACTCCTGAAGTTTAAACCCGAAATCATCTCTCCGGCGATAGTGTCTGAAGTAAAAATGCTCCGGAAAATAGTTTACTCAACGTTCTGGCAACTAAAGGCAAGGGTAAGCCATCTCAATGTTAAATTTAAAGGGATCAAGCTTTTTAAAATAGATACAAAGTATAAGCATGTTTAATCAATTTTTAAGTCAAAATTTACTTCTCTATACAAAGCATGTAGAAAAGTGGTTATTAATGGATCAGTGACAGGGGAAGTATCTCTATAACTTTGGACATGCTTTAAATTAAGGAGAATGAATATAAATCGCCTTAAAAAACATGTTCGATGATAAATTTAAAAGAGATTACCTCACTCTAAGTTTAAATATTCACATTCTGTCATCAGAAATGGGATAAGATTAGGTCAGGAAATTTGTTTGTTTAATTAAGTATTAGATAAATATTTTTCTTCATACTTTCACTAGCGCCCTTATGAAGCTCAGCAGTATCATTCATTTAGAGCAGGAGGTAGCTGGGTTCCTGTTTACAGTTAGCTACCAAAACCGCTGTGCTTGCTGTATGTAAAGAAGTTATAAAATTGTTCGGAACTCAGACCTAGATTTCCAGCACATATTAACATATAAAGCTAAAATTAGATACCTATTTCTTTCGTTTAGGCGTGTTAAGCAACTACAGCATCAGGATGCGGTGCGTTTTTTTCTTATTTGACATTCTCTCATCGTGCTCAGATGAATGGTGACAATTTGGGATATCATGGATCTACTGGTTGTTCAGATTACGTACTTTGTTAAACAAACCAATAAAAATAGGTTTCTAGTTAAGGAATTTGAGGAAAAGAATTATGCGTAAGGGTGAAACAAACATCACTCAAGTGATAGATAAGAGCGAAATAAATGACGATGTGTCATATCCTAGGTACAGTTTTATTCAACTCACGACAGGTTCATAAACTGTAATGATCTGTACAGCCTTGTCAGTGACACACTGATTGGTTTGTTCTCGCTCGGGTAGCTCTGATGGCGTATCAAAAAATTGGGTCCGTGTAAACTTTGGAATTTCGAGAAGTTCTCGAGGTGAGAGTTTGCTGTCCGGCTGGGCCGCGTAGATGCAATTCTCACTCTCGCGCCCTATTTCGCCTGGAATGTAGCTGTTCCGTGTGGTGATTGCTGACGCCAGCGTCAGTCGACTGTTATAGCCTGCCAGGGACACGGCGTAGAAGAGACAAACTGCAAAATACATCACTACCGAGTGAATTCGGGAGACGACTCGGGTCTCGTTCCAAGAAATTGATAAAATCCACAGACATATGGCGAATGCAGCGAGGAGAGAGCAGATTAATTGTAGTTTAGTAACTATTGGCGAAGAGAATAGGGCTACCGCAGTCGAACCAGCTCCATAGGAAACAGAGGTACTTAAAGTGGATTGAGTATTATCTTTTGGACTGGTTCTTACTTTTGAGTATTCATGCTGACAAGCATAACTTGGCACAACTCGAGATATCGAGGGCAGATGTAATCGGTGTCCTTGAAATTTCCAAATCCGAGTTCCTATTGTGATCACTGCAAAGAGCACAGGCAACACAGAGGTTAGAGCTCTTAAAAGTTGACTCCTGTTGTGAGATGACTTAATCTCGGTCGGTATTTCGTGCAGAAATACCAGCTGCAACGTGTTTAGTGCGATTCCACAAACCCACGGAATACAATGGGCCAGAAAGGAGAGAAAGACCGAGTTTTTTTGGCTCTTAAAGAGGCTTGCCCATGGCTCTGTTCTGTTCACTCCAGGTTTTAGAATGCGCAAAAACATAATCAGAAGTGTGTTTATAAATCCAACGAAGATCCAAAAGACGGACGTGCAAATATCAAGCACTGGTATGGCAATGTTACAGAAATTACTCATTTGACGGGGAGATAGGCTTACGAAGGAAACAGTTCCTCTAGATGTGGCCTGTAAGAGAAGAAATGCAAGCGAACATGCAGTGGCGTGTACGTTAAGTCCACAAATAAGGCTACACCTGACAGCAAAAATCCCTCTCTGAGGTTGTGTCCGGTTTTTCCAACGCTTGCTGCAAAGGAGAGTCAGCCAGATACTTGATAGTGACCCAAACAGTAGTCCACCACAAACAAAGGCAATAAATTCGTATAGAGGAAGCAGCGGTAGGACTTGAAGACGAGTGCACGGGCGCAAAGAGGGTCCAACTTTGTGTCGAGAGTTTTGACTTTGTATTGTCGGAATGGGACTCTGTGAAGTATCGGCATCAGGTTGTTCCAATAGCGGAGCGTCGGCAGACAGATGCCAGTAAGAGGTGAAGTTTTCACCTGAGGTGAAATTAGTTAATGCCGTGCCATTAAATGAGCTTTGTTGAATTTTTTCTTGGTTGTAGAGGGTGGCATCATCGTTGGACAGCAATCGGTTTATGTCATGCTCGATGTCCCACCTGCTCTGCTCCGACTGAGAGCAAAGGGGCTTTGAGCAGAGTAGGAGTAAGAAAGGAAGAAAAAAGTTAGGTGGATGGAAGACACGAGGTTTCATTATTTTTCTACATGTCGTGATGTAAGCATTGCGCGTAATCTGATGTGTGCAGTCAGCGCACTCATCCCGGGTAGTCTGATGCATTCCAACTGGACCAACCGTGCCGACCCAGTTATGTCGACCAATCAAAATATTTCAGGAAGTGGAAAGTGGCAAAGCTATTAATTAAAAGTAGAATTTTCATTAAGAAATGCCTTTTAATATGCCACATAGAAAATCGAAGAACAAAGCTCTATTTTATGCTTACTTTGCTTGGAATAGTTAAAACCATGGTTCTGTAAAACAAAATGTTGTCACTTTCTATCTAGCGTCGAGGGTAGTATTAATCTTCGCCTTTTGGGCTAGGCCTTTATTATCAAAAGGAGAAATCTAGATTGTTCTTTAAAATAAACAAAATCAACCGTCATAATCAGATGGCATTTCTAATTAACAATGAGGATAAATTGCTTAAAGTTAACCAGTCACAGCCACTGCAGATTTTGTTAATCGGAGGTGTTTCAGTCTGCAAGTGCTTTTTCGGCTCTACGTTAGGATAATTTGATTTCGCAAGATTCAAGACAAAGTGCTGTGGTCTCTCAGGTCTCTTGGTAGTAATAGGAATTTTAGAACAAACTAAATTTCCTATTACGGAACGTAAGGCGGCTTACAATTTAAAGAATAAACTAAATAAAATTGTTAGGGATTGAATAGCACTACAACACGTCGGAAAAATTATCTTAACAATCATTGACACAGTCTTTTGTTCATTAGCTTAATGACGGCCATGTGAAATTCTACTTATATGCATATTATAATTGATAAACTAAATTTAAATATATATTTACTTGGAAGATTAAAAACATGCGGACATCGAGGTTTCTGGGGTCAAGCTTCTCTATGGCAAGAATGGAAGAGATTTTAATAAATCAGGAGAATTTGACGGTGCCATTACCATCATACAATTAGTCGCTAGACCTTAAAGTACGTGGAAAGGCACACATCAAATCCATTTACATATTTTTGTTACCGAGGTATCTGGAAAACTAATAGCTACTGTAATTGGTACATTTCACAACTATCACCAAATCGTAATGGTATAGTACCTTTTAGATCGGTGTTATTCAGTCAGCGCCATTCCCTTTTCTTTCCAGTTTGGATGAAATATTACGTAACTGTTATAAAACCATATTCTCGCAAATAGATGGTTCATTTAAATTTATTGCAAATATAATTCCCTGACAAATGAAATTTGGGGGTTAATTGCTTTGCGAAATTGACTACTTTTAGAGAATATACATGCGAAATGAAATTTAGCAAATGTATTGATATTAATAAATGCAGTAATGATTTTCAGGGGAACTTTTATGTAGTTCCTCATGACTAGACTAAATACCAGACAAATTCATGCAACTTTGCTGTCGTTTAAAACGGCACCTTCCTCCTAATGTTAAATAGTGAATTTCGATGCTTCTCTGGGTCCAAATTTAGCATCCCGAGTAGCAAGGCTACGCAGCGCATAAGATTTCTGTGTATTCTATCTACCTTTTATGCTTCAATTGTCTTTAAAAGTAAGGACAAATATTTATAAAGATAGCCAAAAAGCCACTTCCTCCAATTAAATAGGCTTCAAATACAAAACGCGCCAAAGTTGTCGTTAGGTAACGCTCTGTGACCTTATCAAGCCAAGCAGTACCCAACACTTTTCACCTATGAAAACATTACTTGGAGGCGAAAAGCAACCCCAAATATGAGCTTAGATTCCAAGACCTGCATACTTCATCCAGTCTAGAAGTTTCAATAAGACTTTGTGCGCAACCGTAAACCAATGAAAAGAAACTGCACAATTCATATCTTGTCAAATATAATGGATAGTGTTAATATGGTATGAACAATTTTGACGTTTTGATATATTTTGCACAATAGCTAGCAAAAATACGCGTTGAACATCTATCCTAGAAATTATTCTAAGCTTGAGGTGTTAAACTTTCGGAGTTTTGTACCCGATTGAGTCGAACTGTTTCCTGACCAAATTGTTTTGCATTGTCTACACTGCTTCTTTTAAGCTGAAAGAAAACATTCAACCCCTCGGTAACCAAATCTTGATTAACTTAACTTTGCAAGCAAATAAACCTAAACATTTGGCTACTGCTATGCGTATGAATCAAAGTTTAATAAATAGAGTGTATTCCACGGTAGGTGGTAAATTAGAATTTTCTCACATCTGGTACCCTAAAACAGCTATTAATAGCCAGAGTTAATGTCCCTTGACTCTTATGCTGGTGTATATTCCTAATCAAACAATATCTTTAAATAAAATGATTTAGTTGGTCGTTAAATATACCCAATGTTGGCTTGGTAAATAAGGGCCCAGTCCAAAACTAGTGCAGTAGATTTCTGCATTCGATTGAAATACACTATACATTCATATCTGCCTTTCATGACCAAAAGTGTATTTTGAAATTGGGATGAACTGTTCAATATAAGTATTGAGATAAGTATATTTAAATGAAATTCTTATGTTTTGCAAACAATTATTCCACTGTGGTTTCATTTCTTAAAACTTCTGATGTAAAAAAATCGTTAAATAAATAAAATTCCATCAACGATGCGATAAAAATGGGTCAGTACTGAGCGGTCTATAAGCAGTGAAAAAGTAAAAATGCGAGCTGAATTAGTGCTAATGACTACAGGTGCCTTTTGGGTCAAGACAAAGCCCACGTGAAAAAACTATTGCATATTATAGTTAATTCGAAGTAAATAAAGAAACGAAGGGGAATGCCAACATGCTCGGAGTTACCTCAGTGTTGCTGTTTGTTCCACAAGCAAAACATTAACTTTGGCATATCTATGTGCAGAAGAAAAAGGCACATCTACACACTACAGAATAAATCACTTGTGCATGTTTAAAACCCTCTATACCTCGTGCTATCACCCCGTAAGTGAACAATCTCAGCTGTTCTAATTCATCAAGACTAGGCAGCTGTCAACGCATCTATCAATTTAAGTGGTGTGAAGAAGCAGGCTTTCCGAGATCTATACTTTCGTTGATTGGCTTCTACAAAGCACATTCCACACTTTCTCCTTATCCGAAAAAAATATAAGTGTATTACGAATAGTCGGCATTATGACTCAATATTAAAAAATGCCATCAATTTTCACTTTAGGATAATATTAAAAAATATTAAAGAGCGTGAAGTTGAGGAGAAACATTTATAAATGGGAAGTTTGCCATTGACCTATTATTAGTATTTGAAGTTTTCGTTACTTTTTTGAGACGTTACTACCATTATTTGCGCTATAATACACATAATGAATCTCAGTAATTCAGTACTTTAGTGGAGTTGGTACTGTTCACCATTCAAGTCATCGACAAGATTATACAAACATATAAAATTCGTTTAAACACATACGAAAGGGCAGTAGCTCCTAAAAGTGCAGATAATTTGTGGGATGGGTGTTGAGTATTATTTGTTATATTAGTATTTAACACCGTACTTACTGCAGGTTTCGTAAATGAATCATTTTGGTTAATTGGATCTAAATGATAGTTTTAAACTTCCACGTCAGTTCAGTTTTACTTATTCTTGCAAACAGCAACACCTAGACTAAAATTATGGGTATATTAGGAGGCCTTGCTAAACTAGCAGTTATATATTAGCATAAATGGGAATCATCTGACCGTGATGCGCGCGTAAGCAAAATTTTTCATTAAGTTAAATGAACGAAGACATTTTGCTTTTCAAACTTTGCACAATATTGCATTCTTTTTCGGCCATTTAACTGTCAATGTGTTTGGCTTACGGAAGTAAGTCGGTATCTGCTCAGTGTATACAACTCTTAATTGCTAATGCACTCGAGGACCACCCAAGCCCTAAATTTGATCTAACAGTTCCATAAGCATCAATAATGTGTACGAAGTTACCTTTTTCATCGCAGCTGGAAGGAAAGCATCTCTACACAATTTTTGATTAAAACGCCCATATTGTTTGCCATTCATGGGACGAGTTTGGGATCAAAGGTGCGACTCAGGGAATAATGGAGAATAATGACTATGAATTACGGGATGTTTGTATCCCCAGTACATGCGTTCTCATTTGGCTCGCTTATAGCTAGGATTGCTGCCCCATGAATGTCATTTTTTTAAGACTAGATGCTCTAGTATCACCAGCTGAAAACCTACGATGTCGTTAAATTAGAAATCCGACAAATTGTTTGTGGGTAAAATCTAAGGCCTTAATTTCCATTTTTCCATACTTTAGTTCAGATTTGCATTCGTTTTAAGCAATAAAGCCTTTCACTTTGTGATTCCCTAAAAATGAGAATTTTAGCCTAGTTTGAATATTGTAGCAGAAGTTTCACCAAAAATTTCACGAAACTATGAAGCGACTCCCCTAAACGGTTTTGATGGGAATGGAAGGCTATAATGAGGGAAAAGTGGCAGAAGCATTTTATGTCGGCAAGTGATTATTCATTTTATATTACATTCTGGTTTTCAGATGCTATATTATTACCGATCTGCTCCTTGTCTCTTTATACATCTTCAATGTCCACCCAACTGATTCCTACCGAATGCTTTCATTGTGCTTGTTTTTGGATCGAAACGCACAACCTTGAGTTGGCAAATCCTAAATGAAACGATTTGTGAAGCACTACAAGAATGACTCCTATTAGTCGTCATCTAAACTTATTGTAACTAATTATTCGGCGTTGCAATCAAACTGTTATCTGGGTGCAGGAGACAGGCAACCGACACTATGGAGCCCAGAAATAGTGAAGCATTTACTAACGGGATTAATCCTAGCCGGAATCTGGAGTGACCGGGTTAGGACTGATAGTACGTATCTATGTTAAGGTACACCTTCTCGGATCGTAATTAGCAGTGATTACTTAATGCTGTAGTACTGCCATGTAGTAGCAATCAAATCAGAGAGGCAATCCGATTTTCTTGAGTTTAGTCGAAATTACATCAGTTGTAGCTTCTTTTTCGAATGACAGTATTTACCTTTATTAAATTTGTACTTTTGATGTGGATTATAAATAACAGCTCATTTTTCTTTATAAGGGTCCTTTACAGATAGCAGAATACTGTATCAAAGGCCTTCTAG